ACAATCTTCTTACGAGGTGCAAATGTGTCGAACAACCACAACAATTTGTTCGACAGGTAATGTACCATATAGTTAACGTCACCCGAAGTCATTACCTCACGCCAGTCGATCGTGTCCAAAGTTTCTTTAAATTTTTCAAAGTTAATGTTTTTGATGCTTCTACAAATTACGTGTATAGGTTTCCGTTTTTCTCTTTTAATGCGAAATGTAGAAGTTATAAACGCATGAGCACCAAGAGCCACTATTGGATCCACGGTGACGTCGGTGACTCCTACATCTGTACACACCAAATCTATAAGACTCGGGTTGTTGGTCGAGAAATGTGTTGGAGATTTCACCAACTGGCTTAGGTTAACGCAGTCTAAAAATATACGAAGTTTATTCAATTTGCAGTCAGTTGACGACATATCCAAACAATTAATATTAAAATCGCCCAACAACACAGTGTGGTCGCAAAATGACACCGAGTTGACAGAGGACGTTAGTGCGTCCAAAAACTTGTCGACATCTAGCCACGGCGGTCTATACGCGGTCCCTATTGCTAATTTGGTGCCGTTAAGGTTCAGTACAAGCCACATTTGCTCGATAACCGTATGTAAAGGATCAGTAGGGTGGGAGTGCGCCCGCACATTTAAGCCACGTTTAATATAAAACCCAACACCGCCGCCGCGGCCGCCGCGCACGCTCAGCGGACGCGGAACATGCCGCAGCCGGTAACCAGGAACCGATGGCGCGCGCCTCTCCTCACCCGCCCTGAGCCATGTCTCATTTACGGCCATAATGTCAACGTCATGGCGCTCCATTGCGGCTATAAACTCGTCATGGTTTGTACCTAACGACCCGGCGTTAAGAAGTCCAATCTTAAATAGTTTTTTCGATGTCATGTTAAATAGTGTGTATATATGTATGTGAATAAGCGTAAACATACAAGAGTAGCGAGGATAAACGCAAACAAAATAAATTGTATAATATATATCAGAGCACTACAGCCAATTACAAAAGTAATAAAATAAATATGTAAATGGGAACAGTCAAGGAAAAAGACATGTTTTTTATTTGTGATAATTAAAAACACGTCAGCCTGAAAGTCAGTACATGCCGCGCCACTGTAAGTAATACCAACTGCAACTCCAGTCCATACATAGACCGACGATATCTCGGATTGTAAATAAAACATAACACTAATAATAACAAAACATAAGTGAATCCTAAGTGCGATCGAAATAACAAAGTTAATACTATACGAATAATTAATAACAATGTGAACCAAACATACATGTACAACAGCAAAAATCAAACTATGACGTCTCCAAAAATTTTTTTTAAATCTACTTCTGAGCGGACCCGCTGTGCAGAGACGCCGTCCTCTTTCCGCACGTATATGCGTCCTTCTTTCGTCCACACATACCTAAAGTGAAGACGCTGCCCCATCTCGCGTGCGATATGAAAGAGCCTCGCGTTAGAGCGAGTCAAATTCTCATTGATGAAAATTTTTTGCGGCCGTCCGGGTAGTTCGAGGTCCGTAGTGGTGAGACCGCGGCGCACGCGCGCTGCCCGAATTAGTTGGTCGCGCACCGTACGGCGTGAAAGGCGCACCGCTATGGCACGCGGCCGCGGTCGCTCCGCCAAGTCGCCCTCCGATGAACCGGCGACGAAGTTCCGACGTACCATGCCCAGGCGCTCGACATGCACTATATCCCTGTCGTCGAGGGCAATGCCGAGTTTTAGTGACACGGCCTTAATTAAATGCGTCGGGTTTTCGGCCCCTGCCTCCGGTATGCCAGACATAATGACGTCGTTAAGCAGCAGGTCCTGATCGCGCTCATTCAGCTGAACCTTCAAATCAGCAATCGTCTGCTCCAAATGATCGTATGAAGACGGGCCCTTGGCTTCAAAGCGCTGCTCGAGGTCAGTGACCCTACTCTCCACCTCGGACATACGGTCGTTGCAACCCTTAAGAGCAGCCCTGAAATCAGAGGTCTCCTGGCGCAGCTCGCGAATTTCCACTCGCAGGGCGCTCAGCTCTTCTCTGAAGCTACGAATCTCCAGAGCCAGATCCAGACTCCCTGGAATGATGGTGGGTGGACTCACTGACACAGAGCTATCTTCTGCTATAGCCTTCACCGGAGTTGCGGAATTATCTGACCTCGGCATTTTAGCCTTACAGCCAGGACAAAGCCATGCAGGTGGGGGAGTTGCTGTGGCCGGTACACCCACGCAGGCACGGTGGTAGCAGCCCGCGCACTTGCTGCACCGGATGCTGGCTGTCGCAGCAATGAACTGGCCACATCCACCGCATTTAGCCATATTGAAATTTAAATAAATCCTGTGTACTTCGCTAGCGGTCAACACAATATTTATATATATGTATAACTATACAGGTACCACAATTGAGTTATAAAACACCGATAAGAAATGTTTTTTGCAGATGTTAAGGTCAGTTATGGTGTAGATATAGGTATTTTTAATAAACAAACGGCCGTGATTAGATTAGACCTTATTTCTTTACACTTTCCAATGTATTATTTGGACTGAGCTGTGCTTTATTTTTTTTATTTTGTTTTAAGGTAGATACTACTAACACTGAAGCTATTATGTATCAAAACTTGCGCTTGAATTAATTATAATCACTCATTTGATCTATTCCACAATATATGTTGTTATTTAAAGATATTTGAGCACTTTGTGAATAAAATTTTGATAGTTGCACTGTTGTTTTATTTTATTTTACTTTATATCGCGTGAACAAGTTAGCTGTTACCGGCGTCCGTGACGTCACTCCTTTCATTGTTTTCTCTTATTTTCCCATGTTTAATCTGTTGGTCTAAAATCAATCAAATCAAATTCTTTATTTCAAGTAGACCAAAATAGGCACTTTTGAACGTCAAGCAAAGAAGATATCATAAGGTTTAACTTTATATGTGTCAGTCTGTCCGTCTGTCGTCTAGTAAAGCTATTTGCTCGTTCCAAAGTGTAGATTCCTATGGAGAAGAACGAACGAGAAACTTCATGGTTACTCAAACTCAAGCTCCGTGGTTAAAAAGAAAGCTATCATGGAGAAGTTGCCAAAAACTATCCATACGTTAAGGCCAAAAACATTAGTATTATCGAAACTGTAGAAGATTCCATTTTCCATTGTCGCTTTAGAATACTGAAAATAATTGTGAAAGCCATGTTTTTGTAGCCAAAACATGAAACCAAGCAAGTTTATCATAGTGTATTCTAAGGACTTACAAATCAATAAATAATGACTCAGAACTCGTTCTGACTACGTCCGTACGGAACTCTAAGAAAATTCATGATGACGTTTATAACCCATAAAAATTCTTTGTTTCGGATTTCCTCAGCGAACAGTCTAGGTTTATTCGCGTCAATCAAATTTTTTAATTTGTGTACCTACTGTCGATCGTAATCGTAAAATGTGTTGTAACGTCTCGTTGATATTGATTTAAATGTTCATTAAATTTTCTTGTTCCTTCCCGGCTGTTGGAGTTTGCTTTGCTTTCACGATCTGGCTCTTGTATGACAGTTTCCTTATACATGATTTATAATGTCGATTTGAAGGACGACTTTCGGAAGATTGCGAATGTTGTAATGTGACATAGCGATAGTTATTTCGAGTACAGTTCAATATGGCTGTCTTGAAAGTCTGACGTTACCAAATATTGTTGAAAGAAAGGTAATGATATACATTATATACAATATTATATACATAGTCGAACAGTAAATGCACAAACATGTATAATAAAAATTTATTAATCTCCTTAACAATTAATTTCTGAATAAACCATAGCACAAACAAGATAACTGATATTAATTGTTTTACGATCCACATGAATTTAACAAACATATACTTTATCGACTCGAGATAAAAGCCATATTTATTTGCCCAGAAGCCTATTCGATACAACAATGAACATCCGGAGTAAAAGGGTTGTTCAACGATTTACTTCGAAAGGTACAAATTGTATTACTTACTTAGTTGAGAAAATAGCTCTGAAAAACTATTTCGTGTATAGAGAAACGTTTTACGGCTCAATGCACTGTTTGATCTTTGCCTGAAACTTGTATTCGGTTAGCCCGAGTTGCTATTATGTACTTTCATCCGAAACTAAAATAGTTTTTCTGTTAGTCCACTTATGAACTCAAACAAGATGAAAAAGTTGGGGCGCAGGCGGAGGTAAACCCCTCAATTGAATGAAATCCCAGAGATTTGATAAAATGCTTATAACAATCATTTTGGCGTTTTATTTTTAGGTACCATAATCTATTCAGGATCCAGATAGGAGCAATCAGCCATCAATTTGATAAAAATTATTGAAGCTAGATTAAGGCAGTAGATCTACTATTGAACAATTTGATAAACGTACTAGATTTACTATCAGGTTATTGACAATCATTATTCTATTATCTAATTATGGAAGAGTCATACTTTGGCATAAACGATATTACCTAGGCCTTACATAATACCAGCTTGAAGGAACTTATAGATTAAAAATCGTCGTGGGAGTGAGGTTACTGGACACTCAATTATTATCCCCAATCTCAATCCTGACCTAGAAACTCCTGTAACGAGTGCCCATGGGGGGCACCGATTATTCATCATCAGGCAATCCGTCTACCAGTTCGTAGAGTAACGATGGAGTTTCTTGCTCGTTCTTCTCCATTCGAAACTACAATTTGGAACGAGCATCTAGCTTCACTGACGAACAGACTGGCAGACTACTTCTCTATTTTGACGTTTCAAAAGTACCTATTTATGGTTTAGTTGGAATAAATGATTTTGACTCTTGACTTTTATATGGGCAAAATATTTTTTTTAATTATAAAAGACGTTCAAAAGTGTCTGTTAGGGTTTAATTGAAAGATTGCCGATCTATGATGAATATCCCAAAAGAGATATAAGATAATAAAATGACTTCTCCTTACATCAATCGTAACAACCAATCAACAACTTTTTATTAGGAGACTATTATTTACTTAACATTCTTTAATTTCAGCGTCTACGGATTGTGAGGGAGAGAAAGAGAGTGGCCTGGATCTTGTTACTCCTGGCAGTACTGTTCGCTCTGTGCTGGTTGCCCTACAACATTCTGCAGCTGCTGATTGACGTGAACGCTGTCAACGTGGAGTCCGTGTCTGCAATGCTGCCCTACACCTTGTTATTAGGTGCGTATTTACTTTTTTAAATATATTCTTCATCTTTGCATATTATCATTGTCATTTCATCATTATCATCACAAATGGTTTTTCTTTTTTAAGGGGAAATATCATCCAAATGTTCCTTTTTTGATGTAACTTGGGCACCCAATTCGCCAAATAAGTCCATGACAATCTATTTGCTGACCAATTTTTGGACATCTTCTAAATAAGAATGACAGTCACTTTTATCACGGCGTAACACATCGTATTTGTTTCTTCACGTCGATATTTTGTGAGGTGCTATCACTTCGGATGAGCCTGCCCATTCACGCTGAAGCACGCCTCACCCATAGCTTATTAAAAAAGATGCTATAACCATATCAGATGAATTAGAGAGTTCTACAAAGCTAGACTTCTATCAAAATGTGCATCTTGCGGCACCTAACGGGAAAAACCACAGATAGATTACAGAAAACAGACTGACGTCAAAATCAGTTAAAATTATCAGTCAATACATGAAATATTGTAAAACAAAATCCATGTATTGTATTGTATCAATATGTAAGCTATCATTTGGTAACTCTAGATCATTAATTTTGTGACTGTAATATGGTATTATGTCGCTTTGTTCACTAACCGGATTACGTTTACGCCTGGTTAAACTGTATTACTATAGATATCGAATGAAATAACGCATGTTTCTTATTACAGATTGTATTTAACAAAATACATTTTGATATCATTACATAGCACCTATAAAACAAAGTCGCTTTCTCTGTCCCTATATCGAGTTTTTAAATGGATAGAGTGATTGAAGGGAAAGGTATCTATGTGTAATAACATTCATTAATTGGTTGAGAAATTTAGTATCAGCATAGTCGCTAGTACATCAATATATTATGCCGTTGGGGGTAAGCCCAAACCAATTTGACTGCCCAGTTGATGTTGTGGTTACTCGATGAACTATTATGCAATAGGTTTATTAATTTTTCGAATTAAGAGTTTGTATTTGTGTTTGGAACCACAATCCACGATACACACGACACGAACCATCCAGCAAGCGATCATTAAAAAGTATAACATTTTAAATATCGCTAATCATCTCACGGCCGTTAACGAAATCTTTTGGACTAAAATGAAAACATTTCATTATTTAAAACCATCAAATTGTGGAAGAGCCTTAATGCGATACAGATTAGCCGGCTTAACCAGAGTGATACCGCGGCTTTTCATATAACCAATGTGATACAAAGCTTGCGTTTGGTTTCAACGTGTGAGTTAAAACTCTCAAATAGGACATTTTCGAGTTTCAACTCCCCAAAGCCAGGGCATCGCCAATTGCTTACCATCAGGTAATCCGTCTGTTCGTGTTCTGATCGAAAACGCCAGACTAAGATGACCAATATTTCGTTATTTAAAGTTTTATGAAAATGTTGATAGTGAACTGTTCAAGTAAATACATGACATAATTATTAATAAGAAGTCTTTTACTGAATCGATTTAAATTAGACACACAACATTCTATTTTGTATTGAAAATTAATTAATATCTACGCGTATTGTGAAGCGGATAGATTTTAATTCAATTTTACGGTACGGAAGTGTGTCATGGTTTTAAATTATTCTGATTACTGTATTTTGTCGAGCGATACACGAGGCCATGAAAAATACTTATAATTTAGAGACTTGGTGCAGGATCTTTTATCACTTTTCGAAAATTCCCTGATTTAGAAAGAACTGAAGAATGAGGGATAGTAGACTATTTAGATATGATCGTCTTATATCAATTAGGATGTTGTGACTTTATAAAGAAAGGAGTTATCCTTTCTCCACGACAACAGAAGATAACCAATTAAATTACTCCACGACAACAGAAGATAACCAATTAAATTACTCAAAAACCACATTCATTGAAAAGGTTTCTTCTGGCAATATTATTAAGCATCAATTTAAATTAAAACATAAAACTAAATTAGATAACTTGTTGTCATTATACAGTCAAAATATTCAGGGCTTATCATCAAAATTCCTAGAAATTGAATTGTTTTTAGAGAAATTCCAATATGATATTATTTGTTTAACTGAACATTGGTTAAAAGATTATCAAGTAGAAACAATTAACTTCAATAACTATTGTGTTGGCAGCAATTATAGCCGCCAAGCAATGATACATGGTGGTAGCCTGATTTTAGTAAAGAACTCAATAAAATATAAAGAAAGACAAGACATTGCTCTGCTGTCAATTGAACACACAATAGAGTTGTCCTGTGTTGAGCTGGATAGGCATATTGTAGTATGTGTTTATAGGCCTCCTAACATACAGAATCTAAATATTTTTCGCTCTGTAATGGAAGATGTACTGCGGAAAACATGTACTAGTAGTAAATGTACAATAGTATGTGGCGATTTTAATGTTGATCTCTTAGAAAACAATTCTCATTGTACAAACTTGTTAAGTCTATTTCAATCATTTGATTTGTCTAATGTTTTCCTTGAGCCCACCCGAGTAACATCCACCTCGGCAACTTGTATAGATAATATTTTCTGTAACTGTGATTATTTACAAAGTCAAATTGTAAATAGATTACCATCTGATCACAGTGGGCTCACAGTTAACTTTAATACTATAACAACTGTGCCAAAAAAGGAAATATTGTTTAGACAAATCACATACAAAAAAATTGATTCATTAAATAATAAGCTAAAACATAAATTATGCAGCCAAGTACAAGACAATAATTGCCCGAGTGAGATATATGCCAATTTATTATCCCTTATAAAAATACAATTCGATAAACTATTTCCTTTAAAACGTAAAAATATTCAGTGTAAATTTGTATTCTGTGACTGGGCTACACCAGGTATTCGTATAAGTAGAGACAGGTTATTTGAGCTATACGGCCTGAAACCATTTAATAGTAGCGAGGCTTTTCGCAGACATGTTTCCAAATATTCAAAAATATTTAAAATAGTATGTAAGCATGCTAAGTCGCTCCACATTAGTAATAAAATCAGGACCGCGGATAACAAAATAAAAGCTACCTGGAATATAATTAATAAAGAAACAGGTAGAAATAAATCACAAAACACTGAATTTAATTTAAAAACCGAAAAGGGATATACTAGTTCAAATTCGTCAGTTGCCCAGGAATTCGAAAGATTCTTTAAAAATATTCCTCTTAAAACTACGGAAACGTTAAAATCATCTCCAGCACTTTCTGTCGAGCTTCTCAGGGGTAACGTCAAAGAATGTCCTTCTGACTTTAGCTTTCAATACACAACCCCCCAGGCAGTAATAAGGGCGTTCAATGAGATCAAAGTGAAGTCAACTGAAGATCTTTGGGGAATGTCTGTTCGAGTGTGCAGGTCGTTTATAGAGACAATTGCGTCGAACTTAACTTTCATTTTTAATAAAAGTGTAGATCAAGGGGTTTTCCCGGATTTAATGAAACATAGTAAAGTAGTTCCATTATTTAAATCAGGTGATAGTACAGAACCTAATAACTATAGGCCGGTCTCTATTTTGCCAGTGCTCAGTAAAGTGTTCGAAAGGTTGATGCTTACTCAAATGCTGCGTCACTTTAACACGAATTGTATTTTCCATGACCATCAATACGGGTTCACCAAAGGACGTTGCACTACGGACGCAGGAGTATCACTTATAAAACAAGTTTTCAACTCGTGGGAAAAAGCACAGGATGCCATCGGAATATTTTGTGACCTTTCAAAGGCATTCGACTGTGTTGAGCACGAGACGCTGTTACTGAAGCTAGAACACTACGGCATTCGGGGGGTATCCCTAGATTTATTGAAATCATACCTTCAAGAAAGAAAAATTAAAGTACAAGTCAACAAAGTTAACTCACTGGGTGCTAGCGTATCTATGGGCGTACCGCAGGGCTCAATATTAGGTCCTTTTCTATTTTTAGTTTATGTAAATGACCTGCCCCATATGTTCCAAAATGAACCGCATATGGTATTATTCGCTGATGACACTTCATTGATTTTTAAAATAAATAGACGAACAAACAAATATGACGAAGTTAATAATGCCTTAATGAAGGTTCAAAATTGGTTTACAATAAACAACTTATTACTAAATGATAAAAAGACTAAATGCATTAGATTTATTTTACCAAATGTTAAAAGTAACGTATGTGATGATATATTATTAAATGATCAGAAACTAGAATTTGTAAAAGAGACTACTTTCCTGGGGATCACTGTAGATGAGAAGTTGCAATGGGGGCCCCACATCAGGTCTCTAGCAGGACGATTGAGCTCTGCAGCTTATGCTGTCTGGAAGATCCGTCAGCTAACCGATGTAGGCACGGCAAGACTAGTGTACTTTAGCTACTTTCATAGCATCATGTCGTATGGAATTCTGTTGTGGGGACAGGCATCTGACGTTGAGTCTATCTTTATCTTGCAAAAGCGTGCCGTCAGAGCTATATATAACTTAGGTCGTCGCGAATCTCTCAGAGAAAAGTTTAAGGAGATCAACATTCTGACCGTACCGAGTCAATTTATTTATGAAAACATTATGTATGTTAGGAAAAACCTACACTTATTTGTAAAGGTATCTGACAAACATGATTATCATACTAGACATAGGAATAGATTGAGTCAGCCTTTATTTAGATTGGCAAAAGTGCATAAGTCATTCCTGGGTTTCTGTGTTAAATGTTATAATAAAATCCCAGTTGAAATTCAAAATCTAAATGAAAGCAAATTCAAATTATGTATAAAGAAACATTTATGTAAACTAGCATACTACAAAGTAAATGATTATATACAAGATAAAAATGCTTGGAGGCTAGCTGGTCCTACTCCACAGGATGTTTAGACGAATTTTTGATTTTAATTATTAATTTGTACACTATGTTGTTAATTGTTGATGATCTTCTAAGTTTTTGTAAATGTGAGTGCCCTGTAACCTATTATAATTAAGTAAGACTTGTAGAATATAGGTACTTGTGTCGGCTGGGAGCTGTCATGCTCACTCAGAGGTCTCATTGGCGGTGGCACGGGCACTGGATCGCCCAATTCCCTATAATATGGTTGAGTTGGGCGGTGCTGGTGTACGTGTCATGTTCGTGAACGGGCGCCGCCTATTGGGGACTGGTCAGCTCCAGGCTGTCTAATTATGTTGTCCTTGAGGTTCACTTCTTTTTCGTACTTTTTGCCTGAACATTAGTGTTACATTGTTCTCACATATCAGAACCGACTAAATGATGTAACAAAGAAATGTATTGTAAAACTGATTGAAAAAGAGTAACCATGGAGTTTCTTGCTCGTTCTTCTCCATAGGAATCTACACTTTGGAACGAGCAAATAGCTTCACTAGAGGACAGACGGACAGACTGACACGCTTAATTTTAAAGCTCTTGTTATATACTTTTTTTCCTTTTTTGCTTGCTTGACGTTCAAAAGTGCCTACTGTGGTCTAATTGAAATAAATGATTTTTGACTTTTGACTTTTGACTTAAAATTATTTTTCACGCCCCAGTGGTGGTGCAGAAAAGGAGAGTGTCAGACTCTTACTAATTAAAAACCAGCTATTTCTTTTCCTGATCCGGGCTGAGGCCGCAATAATGTATGTTATTCCGTTTGCACCCGCAATGATCGGCTGAAATTCTATAATTAACATAACTGGTTTAAGTGATGAGCTATTAATATTATTATTAATACAATGTCTCAATTACCTTCTATATAAATGTTGACAAACTGTATTGCTACTTAAATATTTTGACTACACATTTTACGCAGTAGCAGGGACATCGGCTGCCTTGTAGCTTGTAACAGATTACATTCCCGGACACAACCAACAGTTTTTGTGGGATCCACAAATTGTTTACGTGAAAAGTGTAGTATGTTTGTAAACGCACCCATAACATAGAAGATTTTTTCAAAAACAAAAGAAAAACGATTCTCTTCCTATGTAGTACCTAATATAAAATAATAAACATTTTTCACATTAATTAGGCTACTTATATCATGTAGCAGTTTTATTTATATCACAAATATTTGTTTAATAACAGTTGCGTATATATTTAGTCCTTTGAAAGAAATTTCTTATATCCTTAAGAATGTTAATTAACATTTTTCTCTTTATTACACGACTCATATTATCATATTATTATCCAAAGAAAGAATGCTAAGAAAATTTGATTCCACGTTTGTATTTATTTTCGGGTATTATAATATGAGATCTGGCTTTGTTATATAAATATGAGAATAAAATTTTTAGCAAAAGTAAATGTATTCCGTTTTAAATCTATTTTTATTTAGTTTAAAATGTGAGACAGTCATGCTTCGGCACGAATGGGTCGGCTCGACCCGAGTGATACCACGGCACAACTACAGTTTTGTATTTCGCCGTGTGAGTGAGGTTGCCGGAGGCCCAATCCTTCCCCTTCTCCGATCCCTAAAATCTCAAATCCAAAAAAGGTCGGCAACGCACTCGTGACTTGTCTATTGCGGGTGTCCATGGGCGGTGCTGAATGCTTACCGTATAAATAATACGTAAGCTCGTTTGCTGACCCATCACATAAAAAAATCTTATTCAAACGCCCAAGAGTCTAAGTTACCTTATTCAATCTTTGATACTGTATTAGATTTTTTTTATTTTCTTTAAAGAAACTTTGCCCAATTACAATCATAGAAAATTTCCGTAAAATTTCATACACCTAATACCTACACCCGGAACAACAATTTCTGTGTTACAGAGAGGTGTTATGGATAACACACTTATAATTTTTCGTTTCAACTAAGAGTAGTAATAATTTGAGAATTACATATCTAAAGACGTTTCCGTGAGGGAAATCGATAAAGTATTTACGAACGTAACACTGAATGATCACAACAACAGAATTAAAAAAAATATATATATTGAGTAGAAAGTTGCATTATTTAATATTTTAAGTTCTTGTTTTATTAATACAGTAGCTACTTAACGCAGGATGATAGTTTTCAATATAAGATATCCAATATACACTGACCTCTCACTATGTGAAAGTAAAATAAAACGATCGTTCATTTTATAGTTTACATTATAAGAACACAACTTTTACTTATAAGAAATAATGTTAATAGAATTTAGTACTAATAAAATAATTTAAACATTGAACTTCATAATTTTGTGCATATTTCTCATTAGGTTAAATTAATAATAAAATAAGTTTATGTAAATAGTTATACAAACTACATAATGAAAACTTAATTGGTTTTATAAGTTAGTTTAAAAGTTTTATATTTCACTTTGAAGTATTTATTGCAAAGTTGTGAGTTGTGTTTTTTTTTTATAAATTTTCTTTTTTTGCTGGTGTCTGGTAATTGTAAGGTTAAAATAATTACTCTGAGTCATAATAATTAATTAATATAATATGTAAAAACTAAACAACACTGCCTTATCAGATCTTTACGTGTTCTTTGAGGTTGACTGTTAGAGAATGCCTTCGGGCATTAAGTCCGCCTTTGTATGTATTTTTGTACATAAAGTGTTAAAATAAATAAAATAAAAATAAAATACTTGCCAAAAAAAAATCGCTCGGTCGCTAACTGTGAATTCTTTTAATTCTATTATTTTATGTGTTTGCAATAAAACAGTATGCAAGCTTGTCGATTAAAAGAATCTTATTAATTAATTCATTTATTATTTTTAACGGCTTATAGCATCGCGCTAGACATGACGTGGTGAAGGTTGCAAGGCTTATTATGCCTTAGTGATTAAAATTATTAATTTACTATAATATGCCACGATTAGCGCAGTAAATGTACAACAAGTCTTTTATGTAACCGTTAGCGGGTTGATTCCCGCGCGGATCAACACTTTGCTTACACAAAAAACGGCTTCTATAAATTTGTATCTTTGTAAACGCACCCAGGATACAGGAAAAAGTCCTATTGCGGAGCAAATTTTTTTTATTAAATGAAAACATACAAATATACCTTATGTTTCTTAACACAAACCAAGCAATCAATCGCACTGTAAACGTTTCATTACATTAACAGTTCTAAGAAGATTAACTATAAGCCCATTTTCCATTATTTCAGGTCACACGAACTCAGCAATCAACCCCATCGTGTACTGCTTGATGACGCGCAACTTCCGCCGGTCGCTACGCAAACTCATCTGCCACGATCCGGGTAACATACACTCTAGTACTCATTTCCATGTAAGTTTACAGAAAAAACATCGATAAAGACAATAACATATTGAATACCTTCGAAAATAATACTATCCGTCTTACTAAAGTAATGGAATTCCTTTCTTCTACCAATCGTTACAATTCTTGAATAAACTCTTTTAATATCGATCTACTATATTCTATCTACACTAATTCTTTATTCGGGAAATGATAACCAAAATTTAATTTACATTGTACTTTTCAATAGCATGTGGTAGGTATTTCCTTGAGTTCTTCAAAAGAAATAAAAAAATCTGAAATACAAGTCTGAAACTAATTCATTGTTTAAAAGAAAAAAATGCATTCTATTTTAATACATTTTTCTTTTAAAAAAAGTTTATTAGTGTAAAAACTTAGTTCTGTAGTGTTTTAGTTGCTTATTTAACTTTTAGGTATTGTATGTCAACTTTTTACGATAAGGCTGTAGTTAGTTTAGTTAGTTTATTTGCAAAAACTTAACTTTTGTAGCAAACTCTCACTAATTAGTTTATCAAACATTTTCATTTATAAAATAGACAACTAAAATAGAGCTACAACGAGATAATATTGTTAATACAGCAAGCATACAAAAGTTAATCTTATTACTTTGAAAATTAAGTCTTAAATTGCCATTTTACTTTACTATTTTACATTGCGATTCCTTAAATAATTTTTGTTGAGTCAATCAGAAGCGAATTTAGTTGCGAAATATGAAAGTTCTATTTTTAAAATTTGAATTTTACTTCATAATACTTAATAGCTCTATTTTAGTTTTATTATATCGATAGCCAAACTATTTATTGAGTAAACATAAATACCAAGTACGTAATTAATTTAAAATGTAATGTAGGTAGTTACACTTTTCACTAATTGTAAGTCAAAATCCAGTGTAAATTGCAGTAAATAAATGAAGAAGTATACATATATAATATAATATAATACCTTTTACATAATACTTCTTCGTTTTTTCAGATGCAAGGTTTACGTCAAAAATCCAACACGTCTAGCATGAGGACATGCACTACAGTAACCTTCAGGAGCAGCAATAACCAAATAGGAAGGATTGCAACCGGACCCCCCAGCATCCAATATGGCCGGGCCAATAGAACCGCATCTTTCAGAGACAATGGGTGGAAGGACCGATACCAAAAATCCCCACAATTTTTGTAATAAACGACATGGAATGTGAGATTTAATATAATATAAAAACATAGGTAGTTTTTAACAATTAAAATGACATGCATTCGGCATATTTGCAGTTCTAAGAGCAGTGCTCGTTTAACACTTTTATAGAGCAGTAAGGTTTCACCAATATTGTGAAGTAAAAAAATGCAGAAGCTTCTAAGAAAAATCTATTAAACTTAGATACAAAGCTTTCCCTTACAATTTTCTGAGACTATTTCCTTACACATTCTCTTAGCGCCATCTAGATTCTGACTTTTGAAGTATGCTTTCAGATACTTAGTCACTATGTTTGCCACTAGATGGCACTATACATAGGATTATTTTCAGGCTGTAAACCTACGCTGTCTGCTTAAAATGTAATTTTGTCGCTAGATGGCACTAAATTCATGTAAACAGCTTTAAATACAGGGAACGCGCAAAATTAATTGAGAGTCTACTAGTCTAGTTAATTGTAATTTAATCTAAAGCTAAGAAATATTTTGCTTTGTGTTTTCTTCTAAAAGTAAGTCGTAAATATATTTTAACTTTAAGGACACGATCTCGGAATGTGAGAAAGTATTTGTGTGAGGATTTTGTTTGTAACAAAAAGCTACCTCAAAGAATTATTTATGTCACCAACTGTAGTTTTGAAAACAACGCCATCTTTTATTTATAAAATCTATTAATGGCGAAGTGGTAGTGATTGATGTGAATCTAAAATATAAAGTCAGTTGTTTTTGTTTTATATAAAAATGAGGTTTAACCAACCCAAAAAATGAGTGCTGTACAGATTGTTTTGTATTTCTAATAATGTAACTTATCTAGTCAAACTATAGTCATAAATATTATTCTTCTATTATTGTAATTAAATAATTCATTTGTATAATTTACAATTATGTGTAAACTATGTAATATATTTAATTTTATACCGTAAAATGGAATAATCTAATGTTGTTTGTTAAAGATAATTTTGTATATAACTAAAATTAATGTATATAAAGAGAAATTTCAAGCTAATAATTTTTTTTTTGTAATCTTTTACGATTTTTTTCCATACCAAAATGCTATGGGGAGAAATCTTAATTAAATAAGTTATTTTTGAGCAGTCGTGATATATTAAGTGCAAGCTTCTATTTCAATAGACAGTAGAACATAAACTGTGATATCCTCTTTTAATGGCTGGAAAACGAATTTGATGGACAACATAGGTATACACTTACTAGTCATCATCCGGAGTTGCAAGTAAAGCGCAATAAAAAATATTTTACACAAATAGACACCTCATGGGAGGTCCAGTTTTCGAGACTTAAAAAGACCCTTTTACGCCCCCAAAAGAGCAGTTTCATTTAACTTGCCCCACACTATGATTTTCTCGGGTCGTGGGTGCGGTTACAAACATATAATTTCACACACACTTGACACCCAGACCTGGAACAACAATTTGTGGATCTCACAAGGTGTTGTTCCGAGCGGGAATCAAACTCGAGACACGTTGCGCGGCAGCAGTTGCCCAGTCATCGCGTAAACTGTGTAATAAATGGCATTCTGTGTTTAAAAAAACGGGCATTAACGTTTACATAAAAAAAAACAAATACTAATACCAGAACTTGGTATGTACTAAGGGTGACAAAAATGCATGGAGAGCTTAAGGTCGACTATTGACTGACAGGTTTTGCATAACGCTACCATTGATAACTAGATGGCGCTGCTTTTAAATGAAAATAACCATGCAAAGCTTGAATACTTTACACTGTAGAGGCACACAATAAGGTTTTTAATGGTTAAAATAATAATTAAGAAACAATAATATAATTATATTCAAATACACATAAATTATGTTAATTTTCACATTTCCGAGGACTTAATATAGCGCCATCTAAGTCAAGTCAAGCAAACCAATTAAAAGATGGCGTCAATAATTAATAATAGACAATAATCAAAGTTATAAACTAACCCGCATTTTCGATTTCATAAAAAATGCGATCGGTAGCTCGGATAAATAAGAATGATAGTATAATGAAGTCGAAGGGCACCGGTTCAATTCCGGGTTATCATTTTTAAATTTAGGTTTTTTAACAATGGTTTTTTTTATATAAAATCAATAATAATAATATATAAATAAAATATTTAACGTTTAATATTTATAAAAGATAAAAAAAAAAATGTATTATTTTAGAATAAAATTATATTAATAAATATATATAAATAACTTTTATAATATGTGCTAACTATTAATGTAAAAGTAACATATTTTTCTTACAGATTAAGACTAATACTAAGTTTAATTCTCATAAAGGATAACAAATAAAACTATTTCAGTAACATTATAATTTCAGACATTTATTTCTTAAAACATAATATTTATTTCTTTCTTATATAGTGTATACCCTGACCTAATAACTTTTCAGCTAACTGACACATTATTTATTACACTTTTTATAAGATTAATAAGTATTTTAAATCAAAATTGTGTTGTGCTAGTCATTTATTAGTTAGTTTTAAACACAATGTTATAATACGATTCTATATAATATGCAACCTTACTTCTGCAACTATTTTACCTCCCCATAAAATTTAATTAAAGTATTGACTAAAGTGATTCATTTTGTGTATCATGTTATGACAAAGGCTCATAGCTTAAGTATTCGTTCCAGATCAAGGAAGAAATTGAAGCTAGACCTTAAATCAATAACATTTCTAAGACCGGGATATAGCATTCACTAGGTATGGGACGAATTGTTCATAGTAATTAATAAATAAATAATTAATTATTTTGCAATGAATAGCATCTGTAAATATTAATATTGCTTTTATTTTTATTTCTCATATTTAGTAAAACATTAAAATCATTACTGTATAACAGTCGTTGGTTATAAAGTAGTCAATAAATTTATCCTACTAAAACTAAGTTTGAACATTTATCTATTAAATAAATTATAGCTACCCCGGTCTTGTAATTGCTTAATCCTATAGTCAACAATGTCTTTTCTTTTAAGAACTAGTGTAGCCGCCATTTTTATCGATCCTATTTCTCCTATCTCGCTGGCCAAGGGATAATCCGTATGTCTGATTGCTGCCTAAACACTTGCACAATTATGGAACATTACACATAGGACAATTGTCCTGCACGAACGTTATCCCTAGCACATCTTCATGACGTCTTTCAGCACATCTATGTAGTTTTCACTGTTTGCATCACTGAAGATGACAATGCTCCAGTAATTTTCCTCATAACCTTGCCCCATAAGTTGAAACTGGTCTGAGTCAATATCACGTCTTCTGCCAGATCCACTACGGTGCTCCAATGAACCCTCTTCTTGAAACAGCTTTAGATATCCATAAAGTGGCAGTCTTTACCTGTAAGGGACGTGTATTATTTATTATTTTCATGTATCGATAACCATGGATAATAAAATAAATAACAAACGGTCATTTATAAGAATACTTACTTACGTTTAAGCCAGTTTCTCTAGAAATTCCAGTTTAATTTAAGCTTTGATTATGCAATGCTATTATTTGGGCCCTCGTAGCCATATTAAGATTTGAACGCAAATTCATAATAAAAATAAATATTAAAAACTTGTTAAACAAATCGTGACTGAACTCACTCAAAGATAGTAAAGAATGTTATGATTGAACAAAAAGGTTTAATTTTTATACAGTTAATTTTAAATTACCCTCAACTGTTTTGAGATTTATGATCGGGTTATAGTTGCTAAACAACTTCAATATAATAAAGAGTAGGATAATTTCAATACATTTCAAGGTTACGTAATGGCCTAATGGCTAGTGGCAACGGTTAATTTTATGCTACCGAGTTCGAATCCTGGTTATTGCGTGCTTTGCTTTAAAAAGGTTTGGAATATCGTAGCATTAATTTGTATAAAAATTTATTAAGTTAATAACTTTGTATCTGATAAAAACTATAAATGTATATTTTTCAATACCACTAGTATACTAGCGCCATCTATGTCGTCCATGGTATATAATTAAGGCGATGAAACGCCGTACAAACGATTTTGATTTAGAATCATCCATGCACTTATGACACTGATAGTACATACAGAGTGCCCACAGTATAATATCAGAATGATACTAATAATAAAAATGTAAAAAGTTTCTGAGAATGTGTCGATGTATGTTAGTTCTGCTTTCACGAAAAAAGGTATAAAGGGCTACTTTTTATGCGACCACACGGTTACTTTGGTAAAATTTACGTATAATTTCCAGGAAAAGTCGTAAAATATTTTCATTAATGAATAGAATGAAAAAAAAATTAACTATATTTTTTGGCACAGATTATTCGTTGACGAAGTTTCGTTTCGAAAAACCATAGTAGGTCCATGTTCTTTCAGCAAAATTGTTTATCATCTGAATACTTTCTTAAGTGTCCGATTGTACTTTTGTATAATTTGTCATCGCCACTCTCCGAATAGTGAAGCGACAATTTATTATGTTCAGTACAATTTCAGAAGCAGAAACATAAAATCATTGTATGAAAATCTTGTTCCTTTGTATTCAACTACTGTAAATAAAAAACGGTTTAAGAATTTAAGGATTCATTCCATAATGATTAAATAAACTTATTTAAAGTCATAGGATGGAGCTTATGAAATCCTTCCCTGAGATCACCAGTGATATAAGTCTAAAGAAAACATTGTGAGCAAAAATTTACATAGGCTTGAAAAATTTACATTTGTCTTGAGCTAGCGTAGTCATTAATACTCATATTCTACCATGTGAAGTAACGAAATGAATGTGTTGGCAAAGGCATCCAATCTTTGTTCAACATGTCCATTTCATTAACAGTTCGATACTAATTAAGATGAGACAATCAAACCTTCAACGTTTAAAACCACGTTCGTTCCCCCTCGTAAAATCCAATACGAAACTTGGGTGCATTCATACGAAGTATTGGTTCACTTTGATAATTTGCAGATAAGCGAAATGTTCCGAAACGGTGCTAGGCAACTCAGACGGATATATGTGGGCCATTTGTCTGGACTATCTCGAGCGAATGCTAGCTTAATACATGTTCATGAACAATACTTGGTAGGCAGATGCAGATGTGTGCCAAGTTCATGGCTGAAGGTTACACTAAACTATTATTATCGACTGCTGAATATGTATTTAACTTTATACTCAACTTATACCTTAAAATAGTAAATGATAATGGACAATGAAAATGGCATGGTGGCTCAGATGTTTAGGCTTCTTACGCTAGCAAGTACGTGTGATTACTTGTAAATGTGACTTACTCCAAGTTCAAAGACTATTTGAAGCCTCAGTCATTCCGTGAAATAAAAAAATATGGGGAATCTTGAATTTTTTTTATTGTAAGTTTGTCATCGACATTCCATCTTGTAAGTACACGTAGAGCGCGGTGATTAACGCTCATTCGTTCTCTGTGTAAAAAAGTCTTATGCTGAGTTGATGATACTTCTGGAGTTTTAATTTTTAGTCTTTTAGAATGCGGTATTAGCAATATATAATATCCAAGAGGTGACGACTGTTAAGTAATTACTTACCTACCAGATATTAACTCTACGTGTATGTATACGTATATTTATGTTCACATACCTATCTAAGTAAGTCTAGAAGACGTACGTGAGCTGAATAACTAAATTTGTCTCAAACTAACTTCTAGCACAAAGTGATTCATTAACGGATGCTACTTCTCTGCTAAGGTAAGTAATTGTGATATCATATTTGTCAGCTTTAGTTACCAGTTGCTAACACAATCACCAGGAGTAAAGTTTTAGGAG